TATCTGTGGCTGTGGCTTTGTCGGAGAAAGCTCAGACTTGGGTCAAAAGTTTTCCCGTTCATCGATTTCACCCGCTGCAGCTGACCCTTGGAGACTTTTCCTGGTGTAGACTTTGCTCCAAGCCATTGGCTCTAGCGCACGCGCCGAGCCCCTACGAAACTTTTGTTTTAGCGGTTGTTTTTGTTGGGCCGGAAGTTACCAGACGGCGACAGCTGTGGGGTTGCTGGGGTGCGGTTTTTGTATGGTGCAGCCAAATTGCAGATGCTGTTGCGCCACCCACCCCTCAACTCACACGGCTTTGCCCCGCCCTTGGCATGTTATTGCGTGCAGTGTGAAAATTAGATAGGAAATCAAACACGAATACGGGCAACGCACCATTGGAATACGTATTTAAAATACATAAATATGTATTGTACATTCGCTGGGGGTTGTTATGGTCTCCGTTGGATTGTCCTTGTTCTGGCTGATAAATATCTCACGTTGGCTGCTGACCAACTTATGTCACAAGAACTTGAGGCATTCCGTATGGGATGCTACCTAATGGCCCAGTTCTCATGAAATCAATACGGGGAATACGAGGAAGCTCTCAGGTTCCATACAAGATTAATTCGTATTTATATAATATTTGCTCAGCCCATCTCCCGATATATCTACACATATTGAGCATCAAAACAAGGAAATCCATAAATTCTACAGTTCGACTGAACACATTCTTTTGAGGTTATGTTTGTTTGAGTGGTTGTACAAAGTACAATAGTAAATTGTAAAAAAAAGTAAATATTTGTATTGTTTAACTCCATGTGGTCTACTTTGATCTCTTTTACACAAAGCCCACTCGACTCCATCCAGCGTGGGAGTGCAATGCAATTAACCAAGAAAACTTGAAAAATTGATCCGAAACAAAAAACTGTTTGCACAGTAAACGACCCCAGCAACTTAACAATTTATTTTATTTTCAGCCGATATATGGCACTTATATATATGCACTTTCTATTCCACCAACACAAAATCAAGAAAACTAATTAAAGCTGATGCCGCCTGGGAATGGAATATTACTAAAGATTACGCGAATATAGTACCACATGTGTAGAAAAGAATGGTCGGGGATGTGGCAATGAACTACAGTTAAGCACAATGCGCTGATAAAGCAGAGAAGATAAGGTAAACGAAGAACAGCAGAGAGTGAGCGAGTGGATGCTAAGCTTCAGTCAAACTGCAGTCACAGAAAGGGGTGGGGAGGAAACAAAGGGAACATGTAAAAGCTAATTACTGGTAACGCACCATACGATACCCATTACACAAAATTGTTATCAGTGCAATATGTATCCAATGTGAATTATTTTATTTTCCTAAAATTGGGTGGGGAATGCTTTTCTCAAAATAAATTTATCGACCATGCCCTGTCCTGAGCAAGAATTTGTATTATAATAGGCTCTTACAAAAGTCTAATCGATTACATTATACCATTACAACAAACCATTATTGTACACCACAAGTACTGGGTATGCAAATAAATCCAAATCCCAATCGAAATCAATGGCAAATTGGAAAACAAAAGAAAAAGCGAAATAAGTGGGGGGATGAGAAAAGAGAAGACAAAAGAGCAAAAGCATTTCACATTGTACATACTATGCCTTTAAATTGTAATAAAAATAGCCGCATAATCATTCCACAAAGAGGATGCAATGCACAGACTGCAGCCAGATTGAGGAACTGCCCCAGGCGTCGATGGAAATTACTAATTGGTAAAATATGTTTTTCTGTAGACAGGGGCATGTACATTTGTATGTATTTGCGCAGTGAGGCGCACTGAAAAGAGGAAACCGAGCGGCCTATGAGGGGGATTGATGGGGAAAGACTTGAATGTGTAAAATTGGATTATCCAGTGTCCAAATTGGTCAAGAGGGAGCACGAATGGCGGTTGAAAAATATTACTAAATATTAGCAGAGTTTTCTGTTGAGCGGCGAGTGCCGCAAATTGCTTTAATGGACAGAAAAGCCAAAGCGTAATACACAAACTAAAACAATAAAAAAACACTTAAATAATGTGAAACATGAGCGGGCATACGTCAATGAACGCAGAGAGCGGGAGGCGAGCCATTTAAAGAGGTGAATGTAGGTGGAGGAGGGGTTGTGTATACATACATACATATGTACATGACTGTCCCACAAAGCAGCTGATTCATGCCGGTGGAATATCAAGAAAATTGTGAAACTATTTGCGAGAGTTTTTATACCAGGGGATTGTTAATGTTATAAGTTAATATAAAAGCCGGTATTTGCCGGTTGTTCTAATGACTTACAGGATTATTGTGGAAAATCTAAATTTATACATACATTTATATATTACTGAGGACTAACTCTACGAACTGCACACTTGAGTACTGAACTAATTAGTCTCAGACAACAACAGTTGATCACATTTCTTAACTTTTATTGATTGACCGGCAGCTGAGTAGAGCAGAATCGTGTTTTCCCTGAATTTGTTGTGTCATTAAGGAAAAAAGGTCATATTAAATCGTTAAAGTCGTATTTGCATCAGTCTTGTTAGGGAGTAGCTACTGCTACTCCGATCCACAATTTCTATGTATACTTGTATATGTATATTTAAATATAAAACATATGCACATATATGTACATATGTATCATAAAATGAGCATGAATCACGAGCCAACCGATGACGATCGACCATGGGAAGGTCGCCGGAGGGGATGAAGCTGCTCCCAGGCAGACCGAGATTAGCAGAGAGAGTGTAATTGCACATTATCCACTCACACTCCAGTGGAAATCTTTGCTATCAAATAACTTTTCGTCGCGATATAAAACTTTTTTAACACGAGAACACTCTGTGGCGATGACATCATGAGCAAAGTGAACGGAGAGAGAATAACACGCCAAACGCCAAAGCCGCAAAGAGAGCGGCGAATGACTAACAAAACGCACAAAGGAGAGGAGGAGGAGACGCGGGCAGGTGCCAACTGGGATGCAAGGTGCGGTCGCAGGACACAAAAACAACAAACGATAACAACAAAGAAATTGTCTACTGCTGACACTTACCAAGTCCATATTTGTAGAAGATCTCCTCCACGGACACAATCTTTGGCTGAGGCTGCGACTTCGATGCCGGTGTGGGCACAGCTGGTGCTGGCCTTGGCTTGGGCGTCTCCACCTTGGGTGTGGGTACAACGTTCTTGGGCGGCTCCGGTTTCGGTTCTGCTTTGGGCGCAACTGTTACACTGGGCTTGAAGTCCTCCTCGTCGTCCAGATCGGTTACCAGAGCAGCTGCTGACCCAGATGCTGGAACCGGGACGGGTGCTGGTGCTGCTGCTGGAGCGGGGGTCACAGCGTGGGGTGGCACTGGAGGAGGAACCACCACGGGCGGGGTGACTGTGCGCTCCTCCCGGAAATCGCTCAGCAAATCCTCGGAGGAGATGAACTTCTCGTTGTCCTGCTCCTTGAGAGCATCCACAATGGGCTTCTTGGCCGGCGACGGTGTGTACGAAACGGACGGCGACTCTGTATCGGAGTCCTGGTTACCCACGGTGGCGCTGGCTGTGGCGGTGGTCAGCGGTGCAGCTGGCCTGCCCAGGAAGTCATCATCGTCATAGAAACTGGTTTTCGCCGGGGCCGTCGGCTCGAAGGGTTGGAGTGGTGCCGCAGGCTTCTCACCGAAGCTGCCCAGCAAATCCTCCTCATGGACAAACGCTTGTGGAGCTGCAGTCTTGGGAGCGATTTCCGTAGCAGAAGCCACTGGAGTAGCAGCTGCAGTTGGTGCAGATGCGGGAGCAGCTGGGGCCCCACCAAAGAATCCTCTCTCGGCGTTCATGAAGTCGCTGGTCAGATCGCTGATGCCCTGTTTGGCACTGTGGCCGGCATCCTTGATAAAATCGTCAAATTCTTCCGTCTTCTGGGCGAACTTGGCGTCAAGCTGCTCCTGCGCCTCCTTGGCCCCGGCGGACATACGTTGGACAAAGGCCTGAGGGTCACCGAAGTCCAGGTTCTTCTGCTCGTTGGCGAAGTAGTGCTCGGTGTGCGCATTGTCGTCCTGCGCGCCGCTGCTGACGTTGCCAGCGTCGCCGCCTTCCCTGTCCCCACCCACCAGATCCTCGTAGGCCTGGCCAGCCTTCTGCGTGGCCTTGTTAAAAATATCCTCACTGGTGGCCGCAGCCTCCTTCTTCAGGTCTGCAAAGTTGAAGTCCATCTTTGGGGTCGTTCGTTCGGATGCGCTTTTCGGCAGATATTACTTTTCTCAGTTATCCTTGTTCTGATGGGACTCACGAATACACACAAACACACACGCGCATAAAACACAAAATCGGTGTTACAGCTGATTCCGGCTGGTACCTAACTTTCGTATAGTGGAAAGAAGGGAAGACTTTTGTCTTTGTTTGGTTACACTTTGAAATTTGTTTAAAATGCTGCGGACTTGCGTTTGAAAATGTTGCTAAAACGATTATTTGAATAGATGTCCGCAACACAACCGACCAGGGTGAAAACAATTTTTTGACTGCGCGCTTGCCTTTTGTGTACACAATTTTTTTTTATAGTCCAGTGTTTTGTTTAATGAAAACTGTGGTAAAGTGTGATATTGGCAAGTTCCAATTGTTGTAAAATTGAATGGTATTTTTCCCAGTGTTAATGGTAATGGAATTATTAAAATCCAATTGGACGCTTTCGACCAGCAATATGCACAAATATACCTCAGAAATATACCGTCTCATGCTCGAATTAGCGCGCAACTACGAGTAATTTTGGTAAAAATATACCTTAAGACCCTCTAAAATATACCGAAGATATTTATACAGCTCCGGCCAAAATAATAGTGCCAATATGAAAGATGTAAAGATTTTAAATAAGCATAGCAGCAACGATAAATACATCATGTGATAATTGTTATGGGTAGTTGGATTTTAATAGTAGAAACGTCCCAAGAATAGAGTGTGATATTTATGAGGCTTCAACTCCTATTAGGGGTTTTAACAGAAATAACTCGAGTAGAATTCAAAATTAATAGAGACCGGCCGCTGGAACATAGGTTCCTTAGATTTAATGGGAACTGTGACTATTTTTCCATGTACAATGTTTATATCTACAATCTATACTAGCAATAGTTTAGGTACGGTGCTAATATTACAACCACTTGGTGTTTTATGCGGTCCACTTGAGACAGCGAGTGTCCTGGTGCGTGCGCAGACACTTCACCCGGCAGTAGCGCGTCCCACAGGCTGTGCAAGAATATTGCGAGAAGTTTCCGCAGACCGCACAGAAGTGGCGCACTGGCTTATTGGGAGCCGGCGCTGCTGCACTCTCATAATTGGGCTTTTGTTTGTCCTCCTCGAGGAGCTGCTGAAAGTTTTTGCGGTATTTGGCCCTGAAGTATTCGGCTCCCTTACGCTTGCCCTTCTTCTCCTTGGCGTTCTTGACACTGTCCTGGAATTTAGGTAACTTCTTGGACATGACCAGATCGGCGTGTGGGTCATCGTGGAAATTATCCTGCTCCAGTGCTTCGAGCGCTTTGCGGGCGCGCCTCTGCCGAGCGGCAGCATCCAGCACACGTTTCTTCTCTGCATCCTTAATGCGATTCGACTCTCGGCCCGTCATGGCAAAATATACAGTTTGGAATTGGAATTGATTGGTGGGGGTCGAGGGCGACAAGCGGTGGTCTCTATTGGAAAAATTTTAGTTTAGGCGTCTTTGTCGTGCAGGGGAAAACTGATGCGGTCCATTAAATCGTCGACACGCGCCTGAAGCACTTCCACAATGTCCGTGGAGATGAATAGGTGACTCTCGTCCAAGTCTTGAATGATGAATTTGCGACCCAATGCCAGCTTCTCGTCCAAATGCAGCAGGAATTGTTTCATAGCAGGATCACTGAAAACACAACATTGTCAAATATTTCCAGTCAGACGGATATTGTCGCTTAAGCTAGTTTACTTTACCATTCCACAAGCACTCCTTTCATAACATTTACCATGTTTTAAGCATTTACTTCGTCAAAAGAGCGGCAATTTGCGAATATTGGAAAAATAAATATATATGGCCGTGGCAGTCACGGAAACGCACGCCCCTGCTCTAGGTCACACACCTTGCTTGGATAGTATAGGAGACGCGATACTTTTATCGTTTCTAAAACGATATTAAAAACCCACCTCGTTGTGCTTATCCAATGCACTAAAATCGTATGGGTTTGGAAAAACAATTAATTACAAGTTCCGAAATAACTATTTTTCTCTAAAAGTCAGGGTAGTATAAATCTAAAATATTTTAAACTGTAGTAGGCAAAAATAACACAAATTTATCTGATTTAATGATGTTTGAAAAAAAATAGTGTCCCAACATCGACATAAACTATCAACAAATCATATATCGATATTTTCCTAGATACATTTATAACATCCGATCCAACATCCAACACTGGCAAATATATTCAGATTTGGAAAAAAAAAACTTAGAAAAACTACGAAAATGGACAGTTTGAATGGAAGAAATGTGGCGCTTCTGGTCCTCTGTCTATGTGCTTGCTACGCGCTGGCCACCGAGGAAGGCAAGGAAATACCGGCAACTAAATTCGGTCAGAACGTTGCGCCGACGATGACTTTTCTTTACTGGTAGGGTGGGCAATTAACATAAATACGTGCGCGCGATTGATAACGCTGACGGTGTATTTCCTTTTCTTTTCAGCTACTCGTGTGGCTACCGCAAGGCCTTCGAAGATTACGTGGGCATTCTCGGCGAGAAGTATCCACAAATGCAGGTGCACGGGGCCAACTACGATCCGCCGGGCATGAATTACTACCTCTCAAAGATCATATTCGCGCTGAAGATTATGATTATCGTGTCGGTGGTGAGCTCCGTCAGTCCCTTCACCTTTCTGGGACTCAACACGCCCAGCTGGTGGAGCCACCTGCAGGCGAATAAAATATACGCCTGTATGATGATATTCTTTCTTGGCAACATGCTTGAGGGACAGCTCGTTTCGTCGGGTGCCTTTGAGATAACGCTGAACGATGTGCCGGTGTGGTCGAAAATTCAGACGGGCCGCTTTCCGGCCCCCGAGGTGCTTTTCCAAATCATCGACAACCAGTTGCAGTTCACCGAGAAAGTTCAGGAGAATCCTGACTTTGTTAAATAATAAGAGCCTCTTCAGCCCAGGGACAGGAGGAGCAGAACTACATCAAAAGATGTGAACGAGCGTGTCCAATGCAAGTTCTTGCTCTGACTGATGACATAAATAGTTATATCTTTGTTTCACCTTAACGTAAACCTATGTACTACTACTTCTTTAACTCTGTCGTTCCCTTCGACGGTAGTCCGTTCAATTGATTATCTTGCGTGTGTTTGTAAACAGATATTGTGTCGCATCAATCTGTTGTGAGAGAGTTCACAGCCGGGTCGGGTTCGGGGTACATATTGACGAAACGTGTGTTAAAAGTAGTATGTACCTTGCTTATAGTCCTTATGAAAATGTGTATCATTATTTGTTAGTGGGGGAGCAAACATAGTTACATATGTAAGTGCTTGCGTTGATGTATAATCTTTTTCAAATTGTAATACATAAATACACTCGACAGATTCAAACCAAAGTTAGTGATTTGTGTTTTATGCCCTGATTGGGTTGGAATCCACTAAACGAGAAGGCTTACCATACTTTAACGTATGCTATAATGAATGCAATTTAATAACTAGTATTAGAATACCGTTAAGAAGGGTCTGCAAGCGGGTCATAAACATTTTGTTTGCATTGGTTTTATGTTGTGTAAAGTTTATTTATCAAAAAACTGGGTTTTATTTTTGGTTTTTGTTTAGTTAGAATATTTCCTACTGTTTGCAGATGGATCATTTAATGGCAAGTTGAGGGGCAGTGGAAATTATCTTCTCGTCTCTTCTCTTTCGTTTCTTTTTGGTTGTTTCATTTGGTTCTTGGAATAAGTATTATTATGGTTTGTCCACGTAATTAGATTACACAACTCCTCAGAGGATACTCGACAAAAGATGGCACTGCTCGTGGTTGGTTGATTAACAGAAGCATCGGATTGATGGCAATAAACTTAAAACGAAATTTAACTGCTACTTAGTACGTAAACTGTTCTCGAACTGCGGCCTGATGTTTAGGGTGCGGTTGTGTCCTCACGCGGACGCCGACGGTACTGTCGTGGATTCCCGTGCGGGGCGTACTGGTTGCTGAAGCTTTGCTGTTGGCTGTTGTTCGGGCGACGGTTGTTGTACCTCACGTTGTAGATGTTGGCCGGTGGCGGCACCTGTGGTTGTGGGATTGATCCAGACCGATAGTCGGGCACCGATGAACCACCTGACCAGCTGGTCGGGGAGTCCGATGACCAGGACGAACCTGGACCCGATCTATATCCAGTACCAGGTTCAGAACCCGATCCGGTGGCCCATCTTGAGCCAGGGCCAGAGCCAGTTCCAGTTCCTGATCCGGTGGCCCATCCTGAGCCAGAGCCAGTTCCAGTTCCGGATCCGGAGGCCCATCCTGAGCCAGAGCCAGTTCCAGTTCCTGATCCGGACGACCATCCCGAGCCTGAGCCAGAGCTAGATCGAGTTCCTGATCCAGTTCCCCATCCCGATCGCGATGCTCCTGCTGAATCGGATCTTGAACCGGCTCCAGATGACGAAGACCACGAAGAGGTGGATGTCGTTCGAGTCACATAGCTATCGCTGCGACGACGACAGACCGTGCACCTGGAATGAATTAAATTTGGTAAAGTGAATATCGATTCAATGTCCAGAATCCACTGCAACTCACCTGCTAATCTTGCTGGTCGGATCCGACTTGAGGGTCATCTGCCGTGGCTGTGCAAACTGGTCCTGCTCCTCGATGACCGCCAGCCAGAAGGAGGCCAAAGCATCATAGTAGTTGCAGCGTCCATGTCCGTGGCACTCAATGACAGGATTGGCACGGAACTCCTCCAAACAGGAGCCAGGTGAGACCAGGTTCTGGCCAATGCCTCCAGTGTTGTCCATGGTGGTCTGCAAAAAGGAGATTCAAAGGATGCATTCCACTCTCCCATTGAATCAGAGAGGCTACATACCATATAGTAGCTGAAACCGGTCCACATTTCCTCCCAGCCGCCCGGGCAGTTCGGTATGGACATGGACTGAGAGTGCAGGGCAATGATCCTGGTCGATGTCTCGCACACAACGCATCTGAATGGAGAAAGTGCCGGGATTAGATGGGTAAGCTTGAGTTAAGCTCAAAGTGTAGAGGTGCACTCACCGGGAGATGTACTTCATGAGATCCCTGGACTGAATGGGTGTCATGGTCATGGGCATCTGCTCGGCAGTAGACAGCCAGAGACTGTCGTCGTTGTTCTGCGCATAGTTGCAGACATTGTTCAGGTCGCAGAGCATGTAAGGCATTGTGGTGAAGCGCATCAGGCAGGATCCGGACTGGCCCAAATCCTGGCCGACGGCCCGACTGGCGGCCACGTTGCCGGACAAGGAGTAGCCCTCCCACAGCATGTTGGTGTTTGCCGGGCACCGGGGCACAACCACCGATTGCGAGTGACGCGTGAATATGAAGCCACGGCTCTTGGGCTTCGGTGGCGGTGGAGCTGGGTCACCAGGTGGACCCGGTTGCCCACGGAGTCCAGGACGTCCCGTCAGGCCAATCTCACCGATGTCGCCGCGTGGTCCCGGTGGTCCATCGGCGCCGGCGTAGCCCATCTCACCCTGGTCACCATGATAGCCGGCTATACCTTGCAGACCGTAGAGGCCTTCCAGGCCTGGCCGGCCCTCATCGCCTTGCTCACCCTTGAAACCGTCCAGACCGGGCTCGCCACGATCTCCTTTCTGGGCATGGACGTACGAGTAGGTATCGCCCGCTTCACCCTTCCTGCCGAAGAGACCGTCCATTCCGTCAATGCCACTCCAGCCAGCATCGCCCGTAAGGCCACGTGGTCCGGGGGCACCCACAATTCCGTAACGGCCAGGTTGGCCCTGGAAACCTCTCTCTCCCTTCGCGCCATCACGTCCGGGTGCTCCTTGAAAGCCCACATCACCAATGTCACCTTGACGGCCATGGATGGCAAATCCAGCCTCGCCGACATTTCCCTGACGTCCAGTGTTGCCGCGCTCGCCTTTCTCACCGATCTGGCCGTACTGACCATTGCGTCCTGGAGCTCCTGGGTAGCCGACATCACCTCGGGCACCGGGCGGGCCCTGGATCTCGGGACCACGATGTCCAATATCACCGTTCAGGCCATACTCGCCCTGCTCGCCGGGTGCTCCCTTCTGACCCATGCGGCCCGGACGTCCGGGCAGTCCATCGTATCCCATAACACCGTCATCGCCGCGTTCCGCTGTTAGGGCCAATCCGGGTGGACCTCTCAGACCTTTGTCACCAGGCAATCCATTATCTCCAGGAAGGCCATCCATTCCGGACAGGCCAGCAAGACCAATGTCACCCACGAATCCCTTGGCTCCTGGGGCGCCATAATATCCAAGCAGGCCCTGCTCTCCTTTCTGTCCCTGCTCGCCTTGAATACCACGCGATCCGGGCAAGCCACGGTATAGGTAGCGGTCGCCGAGTCCCTCGAGTCGTCCGGGATAGCCGAGCTCACCTTCGTCTCCAGTCTGTCCCTGTGGTCCAGTAAGACCTGGTTCACCCTGACGACCCTGATCTCCTATCTGTCCCATTTGGCCCGGGTAGCCATCGTCGCCTTTAACTCCTTGTGGACCTAGGGAACCATTGGGACCTCTTTCTCCAAGCGATCCCTTGGGGCCGGGAGCTCCATTGCGACCGCGGTAGCCAGGGAATCCCTGTTCGCCGTCTTGTCCTTGTTGTCCCGGCATTCCGCTGAAGCCACGATCACCGCGAACACCTTTCTGTCCGTACAGACCAGGCAGTCCGTTGTATCCCGGATTGCCAGCCTCGCCCTTACGGCCCATGTTTCCATCGACTGCAATCGGAGAGTCGCCGATAGACCCTCTCACTCCCTTCGAGCCGACGGCACCCTTGTAACCAGGTGGACCGGTCCAACCCGGCTCACCTCCGTCGCCCTTGATGCCGCTGTAGGAGGCCACGCCCTTGGCACCCTCCCTTCCGGGGAAGCCACGGTCGCCCTGTTCTCCCTTCCGGCCAGGTAAACCGCTGGCGCCAGGATAACCGAACTTTCCCTCATCACCAGTTACACCTAAAAGGAGGAAGCAAAGTTAACGTCGTAATATTTGTGGCCCCTTGCCCAAGGCGAACTCACCTTTCAGTCCCATGTCTCCAACGGATCCACGAGGGCCAATGTCGCCAGGACGACCATCGAAGCCGATGTCGCCACGATCTCCCATGTCGCCAATCATACCCGGAAGTCCGCCAATACCTGCACTACCGGGCACGCCTTGGGGTCCAGGATTGCCGAGAGCACCGCGGTTGCCAGAGTAGCCAATGTTGCCCTTGGCTCCATTCTGGCCACTCTGTCCAGAGTAGCCAACCTCACCCTTTTGTCCTTTGACGCCGTGCGCTGCCAGTCGACCGGTACGACCAGGTTGACCTTTGGGTCCGGTCGGACCTTGAACGTAGTCACCGCGCTGGCCTTTGTTTCCGGGAAGTCCTGTGAAACCGGTAGCCCCAGCCGGGCCCTTTTCACCCTTAGCTCCTTTACGTCCACTTATGCCGGGGGGTCCGTAAGGTCCGGGCGGGCCATCGTCACCTGGCAAACCGTCGATGCCGGCCCTTCCAGGTATGCCTATCTCACCGGGTAGAATATACGGGCCGGGCTCTCCGCGCTGTCCCTTGTACCCGAGCACACCGTCAAGGCCAGGCGCACCCTCAAGGCCAGGCAGACCAGGCGCTCCATGCAGTCCGTAGTCGCCCGTTAAGCCAGGATAGCCCTTGGCTCCAATGGGTCCCTCAATGGTGTCACCTACCGGTCCGACATCTCCAACTTCACCAGCAAGGCCAGGCTCTCCCATCTCGCCCTTTGGTCCACGGAAGCCGGGAAGTCCTGGTTCGCCAAGCTCTCCAGGTTCGCCTCTGTTGTCGTAGATCTCACCGGGATGCGGCTCACCCTTGTCGCCCTTCAGGCCACGGCTGCCCTCATCTCCACGATCTCCGCGTCGTCCATTGTATCCGGGCTCTCCGACCAGGTATATTTTCGGGGTGTTTGGCTGAAGGCCAGGCTTTCCGTTTCGACCAGGACGACCTGGGCGTCCATCGACTCCAGGACGTCCCGCATCACCGTAGTCACCGCGCTGTCCAGGCTCTCCTCGGGCACCGGGTGCACCATGGAAGCCAGGCAGACCCT